ATTTTAAAGGCATGAAAATGTAGTAAGATATTGATTTGATGAATATCAGAAAGCACAGAGAGGCGAAAGAGGTATGGCTCAAGTGGTAGAGCACCTGCCTAGCAAGTGGGAAACCCCTGAGTTCAAAATCCAGTACACCAAAGAAGAAGGAAGGAAGGGAGGAAGAAGGAAGGGAGGAAAGGAGAAAAGGAGGACCTGGAGAAATGAACACTAAAGTGTTTGTAAGTGTCAGAATAGACTTCCAAATACAAATCAGAATGCAGCACAAAAACACAGCATATTCCAAAATTCACAAATGAACCTGTCTGTGTATCCTCTTAGGTTGAAAGAGAGTGAGCAATAAAAGGACTTTGGAATTACATAAAGATGGGAGGTTGGTTGCTTTGAAGCAAGGAAGTAAAAGGTGCTTATACTATCCAAGTAGATATCTGAGACTGGAACAGACCTTGGAGGAGAGAAAGAGAAAACCTGAGGAAACAGAGTAAGTACACTGAAACTGTTCTGCCTATCACTGCACTCACATCAATGGGCATAAGATGGGGATGGTCTATCTGGATGGTTCTCTGCTGCACTCTGTTCTCTAAGCTGCCAAGGTGAAGACAATTCTTTACTCTATGCTGAGACCAGAAGATTAATGAGGGGAAAAGAACCCTTGAGAGGAATGAAACGAGAAAGAAATGAAACAGAAAAGGAATGAAAAAGTAAGTTGAGTACTACTAAACAAAGAAAAGGTATGTCAAGGGGAAAATATCAAAAGCTAACGTGAAAATAAAGTCATTTCAAATGTATACAGCTCTATGAATATAAACCATTAAGAAGCATTCGATGATAATGTGGTTACCACAGGAGCACACAGAACAGTAGAAATACTGTAGCACTTGATGTTTTAATTGAGGTACTACTTTCTGGGAAAATAAATCCCACATGGGGAGAAAATCACTTTTTTTTTCACTAAATCAGCATTTTCACTTGCTGGGGGTTATAAACCTGCTTATCAGATGTACTGATCGATTCTGTGGAAATGATCAAGGATGTTTCATAATGTGCTATCATATATTCTAAAAGACAGTAGTCATCTTCACTCTGTTAAAAGTAAAGTTAATGTGGAAACACAGTAGAAACTAGAACCAGAACCAAGGGTATTTTTTCCAGTTTTTCTTTGAAATTATCTATTCAAAGAGCACACCAGCAAGTTTTTCTCTTATTGCTATGATTTTACACTTTAGATCTCATCAGACTTTCTACGTTTTTATGTGTTCCTTGTGCTTAAAAATGGCTACAATTCTTAGAAAAAAAGATAACTGATGTTAAATACCTTACTCAATTGTCAAGCGAAAAACTGTGCTAAGTCAATAGATGGAATCCGTGAAGAGTCTATTCACTCGTTTCCCTTTTCTTATATCACTTACAGAATCTTCCTCATTTCAAATGAACAATCAATTATTCCCCTCGATCATTTTAACAATGTACACATGAGGCCATTTTTTAAAAAGCTAAATGGATTGAAAGTAGTTCAGTTATTTAATCTTTTTTCCAAAACCAGTACTTGACCTGTAAAAATGCATTGTGAGACTAGTCATGATATTTATAGAGTTGGCTATCAATATCTGGATTCTATATGAAACTTACAAGTCTTAGTCCAGAAATTAAATACTAGGTAGGAAACAAGAAACTATTGAAAAAGTCTTGAGCTTTATTTTATCAAATTTCTCAGAGTCATAAAATGCAGTGATCAACAACAGAGAAGATAGTAATATGACACAGACAGAAACATGGAGCAATCATTTAATTGTATGCTTCTAAAAGCTCAAGAAAATTCTCGTTCCAATTAATTATTCTACTCCTAGGCCCCCATCTTCTGTCTACTTGCTCTTAGAATCATCTTATGAAGTTCAACCCCTCATGTAAGACTTTCATATGGACACACCCTCCTCTTGAAACAAGATAGAAGACTGAGTTCTAGTAACAAAATATTAGCTACCTTTCATCAAGCTCTCACACCATGCTGGGCAGCTCTATGTAAATTCTCCAACAGCTTAGCGTAAATTATGATCATTTGGTTTTATTATACCATCATCTGTTGTTTTTTTAGCTGAGATGCAAGAACGAGCAGGGATTTAGGTCAAAAAATTGTTTGAGGCCCCAGAGTTGGTGAAGTGGCAGGTTGGGAGTAGAAAAGAAAGCTGGAAGCAATACTTGACCTCAGAAGTCAAGTACATACTCCAGGACCTCCACTTTTATTTGAGAGTTATAAGAAACAACTCCAAGAGTGACATCTATGAAACTTGTTTGTTTGTTTTGTTTTTTATAGAGAAAGTGACAGTAAATTTTATCAGGGAAGAAACACATTTTCAACAAACCGAAGCAGGATATCTCTAGAGTGGGAATGAGAACAACCAGAACTGGGGTTTTTTTCCTTGTTAAGTACAACTTTTTGTGGATTAAAATTTGTTTTTATTTTGAAAATGTAATCCCTTTATAATCAGATATTTCAGAAATGTATTTTCTTCTTTCCACTGAGTTTTCAACATTTTTCAATTATATTTAGAATGGGAGCAGCTTATAGTAAAGATTATGAGTATGGGGTTGGGATTCAGTTCTCTATGATGTGGGAGTAATTTCAATACCTAACTTATGGGGTTTTGTAAATAGTAAGAAAGAGACTATATTACATACACACAGCATTACCATAACAATATAGTTGTAACAGGCACCAATCTAAGAATTTTACATATAATATTCTTAATACTCAAAGTGGCCCAATAAGAGAGGTATTCTTACTATTATCCCCCTACAGACAAAAATCAAAGGCAAAGAAAGATTAACAAACTTGCTAAAGATACACAGCTGGTGACAGAACTGGGATTCTAACCCCAAGTTTATGTCCCTAGTTAAACATGACATTAAGAAGCCCCTGTGGGACCAGGAACTAGAGAAAAGGTTAGATCAAGAAGAATTAAATTAGAAGGTAACACACATGCACAGGAAATCAATGTGAGTCAACTCCCTGTATAGCTATCCTTATCTCAACTAGCAAAAACCCTTGTTCTTTCCTATCATTGCTTATACTCTCTTCAGCAAAATTAGAGATAAGGGCAAAATAGTTTCTGCCGGGTAGCGAGGGGGTGGGGAGGAGAGAGAGGGGCGGGGGGAGGGGGTAAGGGAGGGCATAGGGGGAGGGGAGAGAAATGACCCAAACATTGTATGCATATATGAATAAAAAAAATTAAAAAAAAAGAGAAGCCCCTGTTGCTGCCCACAGTTAGTATTAAATAAATGTTGGATATCTGAATAGTTCACCCGAAGCTTGCTGAGGAGAGGCCTTGCCGACTTAGTTGCTAAATCACGAGGAGATCAACCTGGGTTATAAAGTCCTCTCATGGCATCAAAAGACAAGCTTGTGTTGGGTAATTTAGTTGTAGAAACAGAGCCAATACCCTGTCATGAGGACTGGCCTAGAGGACAGCTCTGCACTGCCCAGAGTAAAGCTGAATGGTTGGCATGGGGATCTCTAAACCAACAGGCAAGAGTTTACTTTTGAGTCCTATCTCTGACACACAGTTTCTGTGTAGCTCTGATCAAGTTGTTCAACCCATCTTTGCTTCAATTTCTCCTCTGTAGACCAAGAGAGTGTGACAGAGTAGTTGAGAAAGTTCTTTTTAATCCTGAAATGTCAGGATTCTATGAGTCCATGGCCTCATAGAATCATAGAGATGCGCTAAGCTTCCTGAAAAACAGAAATAAATAAGGAATCTCAAGAGCAGTTTTCTTAAAGGAAAGGAATCAACTTAGGTGGCCATATGTGAATTATCTACTTTTCTCATTACTGCCAAATAATTTTAAGCTTAGACTGTCTTCCTTGCTATCCAGTTGTACTATTTTTATTTGTTGGTCTAACAAATTGACACAAATACACTGGCTTTAAACAGTGTAACTTTTTATCTGACAGCTCAGTAGGTGAGTCAATGGACTAGGATCAAAGAGTTGTCAGAGCTGCATTCCTTTCTGAAGCTCTACAGAATGATCTGTTTTCTTGTTTTAACGAGCTTTTAAAAGCTACCTTTGTTTTATGATCCTTCCTGTACCTTCAAAATCGCCAGCACAGCATCTCCCTGACTACTTACATCACCACATCTCACTCTCTGATTCTGTTCTTCTTCCTCCCTCTTCTATTTGTGATAGGGCCATGGTGATTACATAGGGCCCACACTATAATCCAAAACAATCTCTACTGGAAGGTTAATTCCATCTGACACCTTAGTTCCTACTTGCCAAGTAGCCTAACATATTTATAGGTTCCTGGGTTCAAATACAGACATTTTTTAGGAGAATCATTATTTTGCCTAGTACAGTCCCTTCCTGCCATCTGTTGTCCTTCAGAAGCAGTGAAATCAGGAACACACTTTACAAAACTAAATGAGAGTCAGGTGGAGTTGCCCACAGAAACAATTCCAGCTACTCAGGAGGTGGAGGTTGACAAGTTTGAGGCCAGTCTGGTCAAAAAACACAGCAAAACCCTATCTCAAGAAAACAAGCCAGATGTGTTGGCCTATGCTTGCGAACCTAGCTACTTGAGAGGCCTTTAGGATGATCATAATTCAACATTGGCCCTGGGTAAAACTGCAAGGCCCTATCTGAAAAATAAACTAAAACAAAAAGGCCTGGAGATGTGGCTCAAGTGGTAGAGTGCCTGCCTAGCAAGCCTGAGGCCCTGAGTTCAAATCCCAGTACCACCAAAAATAAAAAATCTAAATAGGAAGAATTGAAAAATAAATGTATTCCTATCCTCTTCTACTTCACTATTCAAACCACAAGATATACAGGATTCCAAAGTCAAATGAGAATTCTGTTTTATTTTTTTTGAGAATCATGTTTATATTAGTTGTCATTATCCATTATCTGCTCTTCCAGTTGCACAACTGACTTTTGACAGGATGTCCTTTAATTTCTTTTCTTAACAAATGCATCTCTTGTGTATGGTTTGTAATACTTAGGACATAATGAAGTCATCCAGACCAACCTACCCTGGAGTGAATGAAACCACACCAAACCCTTACCCACCAAGCAGCTTCATGGCTCCTCAGTCTCATCAACCTCTGGGTTTTATAAACCTAGGAAACCGACCTCAGATTGGGCAACTTCCCTTCATCATATCTCCAGAAACCTTTGCTAGCAGTCAGCTGGGTCAAGGAAATGAACAAATGCTAAATCCAACAATAGGAAAAGCAGCAACAAACTTTAAAGAAGAAGCAAAGGCACTAGGGGTGCGTATTTCCTACAAGAATTTTAATTTTGCATTTGTGAGGTTTTTTCCTTATACCTGTTGGTTATAGGTACAGAGAATACTATCTGAGTATTTAAAAACTTTGAATGTGACTCTGGAAACTGTGTGTTTCTTTTAGGTAGAAATGATTAGTCTGCATATAGACTTTACCCTGAGTTCATTTTCTTTTGGATTCAAGCAAAAATCTAATGGGTGACAGAAGACCCTCCCTATAGGAAGATTAAGTAATACTGACATGAGGGGAGCACCACTACTTCTAGTTCGATCTCACTTACATGAAATTTTTGAGACAATCTCATTTCTGTCTCTGGATTGGTTGCAAACCTAGTATTTACATACAGATGACTCCACATTAAAATGAACATTGATGACTGCCTTAAAAGGGACAGACCTACTATTAGGTAATCAGGGTAAGGCTGAGTGTGAAAGAATCAGAAGCAATTCATCTGCTGAGTCTCCCTCATCCATATCCTTGTAAACACTGTGGTTTATCTGCCATCTTATTTCTACAAAGGGTACTTTGAATGAAACACCCACAATCTTGTTTCTGTAGACATTGTAAAGCATGGCAAACTGGCAGGTGACAATTCCACCAGCTGAGGCAGAATTGTTAGACCCTTTGCTAAGTTTTCCAGGTAACTCTTTCAATACCACTAACACTATTTCACCAAATTTTATCAAGTCTCTCCTTGTGTGCAGCTACAATTTCTCTGCTATAGCAGTTAGTAAATATATATTGAGTGTCCATTATGTGGACTCTACTTAATAGAGACTTAATGTTTTAGAAAAATAAAAATGAGCATTAGTCTTCCTCCAACAGCCAATCTAAGGTGGGAAGGTGGCTCCTAAGATCCTCCTCACACCAAGTTGAGGAAATTCCCTGGTCCCATTGAACAGATGGGACAAACTAGCACCTCACACAACTGTCCTCACACAAGTGTAGCAATATTATAGAACACAAAGCAGGCACAATCTCTGCCCTCATGGAGCTTACAACCTTGTAAGGGAGATCAGGTTATACACACAGTAAGAAGTAAAATGCAGAGTGTGCTGAAAGGCAATAAATGTTATATAGAGAAGACAGTATAAGAAGGAAAAGAAGTACCAGGCAGGGAAAGGATAGCAATTCCAAACTGGTCAGAGTGGAATGTGATATTTAAGCAAAGACATGAAGTCAGGAGTGAGTCATGCAGAGATTAGGACAAAAGGAAACAAACCAGAGTAAGGGTCTTTAGATGAGAGAGTATGAAATATATTTGATGAACAGGGAAGAGGCCAACAAAGTTAGAGCAGAAAGAACAAGGGTGGGGATAGCTGGAAGGAAGACAGAAAGGTGTTATGGGTAAAACCTGATTAAGCCTGTGGAACAGAAGGTTTAGGCTTTTAGAGAGTAGAATGAAGAACCATTGGAGCATTGTACCTGGTACCAAAAAGATATGCAATAAAAATACTTTAAAAGGAAAAGAGAAGTTTTGTTTTTAAAAGCTTCAGTTCCTCTTCATGAAGAATATATTTATGGCATTCCATCCCCAAGTCACAACAGCAGTGGGGGGCAATGGGAGTTGGGAGTAGAGCATCTGTATCAATCCGCTCTGAATTGTAAGTGGTTCTGTGGGGAAAAAAATGCAGAACTGAATACCCAAATGGTTAAATCTGTAGGCAAATTTGATCAATATCTGTAGGCAAATTTGATCAATAAATGCTAGCCAGGGCTGTATGAGGAGAAAAAAAGGCTTTTAGGAATCAAAGATCTAACTGCTCTTCAGTAAGAGGACAGGAAGGACAAGGATGGGGTGTTTGCAGCCAGCTGACTGAACTGATGCGCTTCAAGAAGAGCTTGTGGAAACCAAATATTAAGTCTTATACAGAGTTCTTCAACTGAGATGTATTATGAGATTAAAAAAAAAGCTCATTACTTAAAGCTCTATGCAAAGGTATGATGTGCATAGATAAATGTGAAAGAATTTTTTCATGGGAAAGACTCATGGCTTTTGTGAACCTCAAAGAATTTCTTTATTCAAAAAATTTATCAACATCTTAGCATATTTTTGAACTTGTGTTTTTCTAATTTTAATTCAATTTAATTTTACTCAGAAGCTATTTTTAAAGAAATAAAACAGCTTCTGTACTTGTAGGCTTCCTGGATAGATAATACATAAATGAACTACAACTCTACAGTTAACTTTTGGAACAATAAAGCAACAGTTATTTCTCAGAAATCTATGTTTACCTGGGACAAAAGAATAAGAGTTATAAAGTAGTAAAAGAATTACCCCTTGTCTTTGGGTATATATCTCTTACCTGACAAAAAATTTATTTCATACCAGCAAGTTTAGAAAATGAACAAGGTAGGGCTGGCAGAGCAGCTCAGTGGTAGAGGGCTTGCCTAGCAAGCCTGAGAACCTAAGTTCAACACCCAATACTGAAAAAAAAATAAAATAACTAAAAGCAAAAAGGGCTGGAGGCATGGGTCAAATGATAGTGTGCCTTTCTAGAAAGCTGGAGGCCCCAGGTTCAAACCCCAGTACCACCAAAACAAAATTAAGAAGATAAATGAGAATAAAAACAAGTAGTAATGTGTGTTTTGTGCTTTATATCTTAAGCTGCAACCACAATTTGGGGGGAAATGACATGTCAATTTGACTGATGTAATCAGTCACAGAGCGGGTGGACTTGAGCTGCACCTGATGGGACGCAGTACCAAAGAGTTAAAAAGAGGGCCCCTGCGTCCACTTGCTGTAGGAATTTCCATATCTGCCTCTTAATAACTGTGTGACCTTGGGCGCCTCATTTCTCACGTCTCTGGGTCTCCATTCAGTTCTTGGGAGGTTACATGGCACAGTAAGTATATAGTGTGTAGAACATCACCAAGCGTATAATCAAGGCCCAACAAATGACTTTGGCCTCACCAATACTCATAACTGATATTACCAAGCGGAGAATTATTCTAGTTGAAAACGACAGCCGCTGAAGTCTCAGACAAAGCAATTTTTTCTAAGTCTTTTAGAGGCTCTCAGGAGATGCTAATGGGTGCTTAAACACTTTCTAGATAAATAAACCTCCTCAAAGCCTTTTACTGAGGACTTTGCTCCCCGAGTGTACTCAAAATGTCACCCTACCTGCTGTTTTGGTGATTGCCTAAATGATGCCCATGATCCTGGCAAAGTGGACAATAGAACAAAAACAGCAATTATTATAATGTTCCACAGGCTGAAAATAAAGAAGCATTTTTAAATATGGTTTTCTTTATTTCAGGCGATCCAGATCATAATTGGACTGATGCACTTTGGTTTCGGAATTGCTTTGGGTTTACTAAGCGTCTCTCACGGTCATTATTGGGGGTTTGCCTCCACTGCTTTTGTTGGTGGATACCCACTCTGGGGTGGACTCAGTGTGAGTAGATTGTTAAGAAACCTCTCTTTTTAAATCACAGATACTTCCAGTCTGCTCACAGCTCAGTTCTTCATAAGCCCTATGACAGAGGGCTGGAGAATTTAGAGAAATGGCAATTTCGTTGTGCATAAAAAAAAAAAAAGAAACTTTTTTCCCCCATTTTTAATTTGCAGCTTAAACCTATCACCTAATGTTTGCTCTAACCAAGATGACGTTTTACCTCCCTGTGTTATTTTAGCCAGAAATGTATATGACGGATGGAGAATTGCAAAGGGAGGTGATCAAAAACATATTTAAAAATATGCAATTGACAGTGAGATGAAACAAGATGGAGCAGGAAGCTAAGGTGTCATCAGAATCAGGAGAGGTGAACAGGAGAATGAATTCTTTATATGCATGAAAGTAAGGAAAGAAAAAAAGGAATTCAAAAACATATTCCTAGAGCTACTCTAGAAAACTGAGATAAAGGAAATTTTGAGAGGTAAACTAGATGAATACAGGTAGACTACCTTCCCTATTAAGAGAAACACCCAGGCACAAACAGAAAACCCACCATTTCACAAATAAATTTGTTTATTTCTACAGTTCATTATTTCTGGATCTCTTTCTGTATCAGCATCCAAGGAATTTAACCCTTGTCTGGTAAGTTAGAAGCTTTCTATTTTTTTTAACTCCTTTAAAGATTAGTATAATTTATTGGGAAAGAAAAATGAAAAAGTATATTCATGAAATATGGATGGCAGCACTTTTCTCAAAATATCTGTCAGTTGTCCCCATGGCAGAGTGCTGGGGTGGGGAGGTGTCAACACAATTTGCCACTCAGAAATGGCAGGGTTCCACATCCTGACTCATGAACTCACAAGGGTGGGAAGAGTAAAGATAAGGGTTGTTTAAGCTTCAACCCACCAACTTCCTGGTTCAATAGTGTCACACTGTATTAGGGAAGTCCAAAGAAGAATATAGGAACCGGAAAACACCTACTTGCCTTATCAGTAACAAAGTCTTTGATGTTCATTTGTCATTTCTCAGCTCTTTTATTTCCACTTTTTATTTGTACTTATCTCCTATTCTTATTTTATTGGTTTTTGCTATGTGCCTCTTCAAATAACCATTAAAACCATCCAGCTGAGAACATAAGAAGAGCTTATAAATATGATAATGGAGACAGGGTTCTCCCAGTCACAAAACCCCATTCTTGCAATTTCCTGGTTTAATTAAAAACCAAGAGAAAGAAAATGATTTGTCAAAAACTAGAGCAGAGATGCTCTCAAGAGTGCATGAAATTAGGCCAAGAGGAAAAAATGGGGAAAAGGAAACATGGAGTCATGTTGCTCATGTTCTTCCAGACAAAACAAAAAATGAGTTAAACTTCAACCCACCTCATTCTGATTAACCACCCCAATTGTAACAGGAAAGCAAAGTAAAGTATCCTCTGCACCCTTTATAGGTCCTTCTCTCTGAGATTGCCCAGGAATAGATAACTGTCTTCCTTTGACAGAAGTCAACCACTGAAACTTACCTAAGACAAGTTTTCTAAGAGACTTTTAAAGTCCTTCAGGAGACACAGAGACTGAAGCAGAACTCTAAGGACGCTAATGTGCACCTCTAGCAAGTCAGCTGAGGTCTTAGTGTCATAATTATTCTAACATATCTCTTAGTCTTACTGCAAAAACTGGAGAGAGTTTTGAATTCTGCTCATACACCTCTCTACCTACAAATGCCTAGTTTCTCTTTCTATAGTTGAAGTTTTCATCTAGTCCACAAAGAGACTTCTGAGCTTTCATTAATTCTTAAATGTACCAACAAAAATTTTGTCCCTTATGCTTTCTTTTGTTTCTGGTACATTCTATTTTCTTTTAAATATGGAACACTTCACGAATTTGCATGTCATCCTTGCACAGGGGCCATGCTAATCTTCTCTGTGTCATTCCAATTTTAGTCTATGTGCTGCTGAAGCAAGTGCTCCTATATAATTTCCAAGCTATGAAATCAGATGCCATATTACCACCTCATTCAATGGCATTAACAGTTTAATGTAACACTGTACCCACCACAGAATAATGCCCACTAAAAGTTTACTTATTCTTTTCTTAGTTTTGAAAAGGACATAGAGTAGTTATTATGCTTGAGGCTTTTATTTGAATATAATAGATGAACTTCTGCTTTATATTATTTATATTTTTAGAAGAACCTGATATCAAAGCTACAAACAGTAATTTTCATGGTAACTACCCAGGACTGAAAAAAAAAAAAGAAATTATTTCAACTTCAAAAATTGTTTTAAAAGATGTCAAAGATTAAGAACCATTAACTCTGATTGTTTAATCTCACTTATCCACTTTATAATTTTTTTGTGTTTTCCTCATTAGATAAAAGGCAGCCTAGGAATGAACATTGTTAGCGCTATCTTTGCTCTCACTGGAGTGTGTCTGCTTCTGAGGGACATGATCGTCAATGACCACATTAATAAAGACTATTGGTTACTGGTAAGTATTCTATAATCTACCACACAGAGTAAGCTTATTTTTATTTCATATTATTTTACAATTTCAGTGAGGAAATCTCTATTTGTATTCCAGCCTTACTCCTAGAAATGTGATTGTTAGAATAAAAGTGAGTTACTTTTATAGATGTTTATCGATGTTACTGTTAATCACATGAATAGGGAGAATTTGGTTAGGCCTCCTAGACCCCTAAGACTACTCCATTTTTTTCCAATAATTTTAAATTCTATACAAATAAGATAGTCAAGTTGCTGAGTGGCTTTTTTTTTTTAATTTTAAAATTAAAGTGAGAGGAAAACAGCAGTGACAAGGACATCCAATTTTTACTAAAAAATCTGAAAGAATGAAGCAATCACAAAATGTGCCTGTGAATGTGCTCAAAACAGAATCATCTGTTCGTTATCATTATATAGAGGCTGGCCCCAGGAAGAAACTGGTTGTCAGGGGGTAGTAATACTCATTATCCATAAAGAATGGAATAACACAGTGTAAAATGAAGCTGGTCTGGAAGGTGTCATCTTGTCTCAATGGCCACATTAAGGATTTTGGCCTACAGTATGAAAATAAGGGGAAGCCGCCAAAGAAGGTTTTTGGGATTTTTTGTTGTTTTGGTTTTTTTGCTTTTTCTTTACAAAAAAAATCAGAGTTTATCTAATTCATGTAGACTACATTTATCTTACAAAAAAAATAATTACTCCCTTATATATCTAGAAAATGGAGTCTTAAGACAAGATCACAATATTTTAAACAGCCATGATAACATTTCCTCTCAGTTCATTCAGTATTTTGTAAATCTATGCCCTGGGATCTTAGAATGGCAGTCTTAAGAAGTCATTTGCTTCTCAACTAAAAGTTTCTGGATCCTAACTCCAACCACTAGTGTGCTCTGAAAGTTGTCTTAAAAATTGCCATCAGGATCCTGACCCCAGGAGTCTCTTCTTGGAAGTGTCAGTAGTTTGAAGTAGCTCACACTCCTTTTCCACTAAGAAGCTCCAAGGTGATCCTTCCTTGTTAAAGACACAGAACAGCTTTACACAGAGAACTAGAATGCTCACATTGGTGTTTTGAAAGGTCTACTCTTTTTTGCAGTATAGAAAAAGCATATTAAGAAAAGGAATTGATGAAAGAATGTCTTAGTCCACTTTCTGTTGTTGTAACTGGAAAAATGACATTGGGTACTTTGTAAAGAAAAGAGATTTGTTCCTTGTTCATAGTTAGGAGGTTCAAAAACATGGTGTCAGTACTGGCATCTGGTGAGGATCTCACAGAAGAGAGCAACACATTGTGAAGTGCATGTTGGAAGTGCATGTCCTCTAGGAAGACCTTCTAACTAGGCCTCCTACTCTTACCACTTCCTAATAAAGTCATCAAATTATGAGTCCATCAAAAGATTAACCCACTGATTAGGTCAGAACCCTCAAGAGCCAATCACCTCCTCAAATCCCATCCTGGCAACCAAGCCCCAATACATGAGCTTATGAGGGACATTTCATATTCGAACCATAATGAGTACCAAATAAAAAGAACACAATTTACTCCAAAAACAGCTTCCAAATGGGCATCCAAGCAGAGAAACAAACAATTCTGAGGTGACACAAGGTGGTAGAAGAAAGCACAGTTCCTGGCCTTGTCTCTTACTCCCAAGAGACCAAAAGGGGGGGTGGGGGAAGGAATCCAAAAAAAATGCTGAAAGGTTTTACTAATGCTCTTCAGTCTGGTTCTTAGAAGACTAAAGTAGAGAACAGTCAATTTTGAGAAATAATAAACCAAGTACTGTGTGGGTTATGCTCTCGAATAGTACTCTAAGGCCTCAAGAAAAGCAAAAAAGTCACCAGAGTGAACACTTTTTAGGGCAGTTTGCTAAGGTGGAGGAATGGGCAGAAATTCTCAGTAGATAACCCCTCCGACCATGGAGTGGGCTTTGGTGCCAGGCATTCAGGGGACTCTCAGAAGATAAGAAGCAAAGTCCACGTTCACTGGTAAGAATTATTGTCAGCACCATCTAAACTACTTCTCTCCTCGCAACAGCCCCATCATTAGTATTCAGAGGAAAAGATATAAAACAATTTATAGCCCTCAAATCATCACTGGAAACAAGGAAAACCAACGGACTCAGTTATTTGAAAGGTGAATCTAGGAAAATTCACTCATACTATGCTGCAGCCCCAGAGAGAAGAGGGATGCTTTGCACATTAAAAAGACTCCTTGGAGTCAAGTTGAAATTTGGAAGCAAGGGTGAAAGCTAGGGTTCTGAGAAAGGATTCAGACCCAAAGTGCTCGACTCCCTCAGTATTTATTGAGTTGCTGTATATAGCTATTGATCATGAAGCATATGTGGCTTAATAGTTAACTTCTGGGCAAAACAGGATATATATTTAAACTTCTGTGCTCTGTAAAACAGCATGTAACACTATTAAATGTAGGAACAATCATTCATACAAAGAATTCACGGTTCTTAGAGCAATGCTGAGAGGATTCTGTCTTCAGTATCACATCCCATAACCAAAAACTTGGTCTTCCTAGCAATCTGACTGTAAGTTCATGAACTTCTGATATTCATTGCACCACATGGTCTCCAACAATACTACAATTGGAGGCATTTTTGAACAAATTGAACAGATTTGTTCACCTTAATGATAAATTTTAAAAAATGGTAGGAAAACCAATTTAATATGTTAGAGTGATTAAAAGAGAAAGGAAGAAAAAAAAGGAAGGAGGGAAAAAAAATTAAGATTCCAGTCAGTGAGTGGGTCAGCAGAAACACTCAGGAACAGATTAATTTAGTTTGTGTAAAGGCACAATCCAACTAATTAGAACTCAAGACACATAAGATAATAAAATGAATATAAATCTGTGTTTCCTCCTTCTTCCTCATAAGACCTACCCTGGTTTGATGAAGATATGGGTCACATAAACCAGAAAAGCACTGAGTTTCCTCATTCTCATTGTTTAAACTGTTTCAACTGTAGGGAACCATATCCTCAGATTCTAGCCCAAATTCCTATACCAAGGAACAATGAATTGCTAAGTGATTACCACAAGACCCAGACCCGGCATCTTGATTTCTAATCACTGGTATTAGATTCTTCAAATAAATATAGAGACCTCAAATCAACAAAGAGGAATTTCCAAGTAGCAAGTCATGTGATATCCTACAACAGCATGCCAGTGGAACAGATTAAAAATCCAAAACGGAAGAAAATCTTACCCAATTATCAATAGAAGATTCTAAGTAAGCATTTTGTTCTACTGAAAATCTTAATAAAAAATAAAATCAGAGAATGACATAAAAGTTACATTGTAAAGCTATGGAAACCAACTGAGTGCCCAAAACTCAATTATACATCTAGTATTATACATCTAATAGTGGCCTCAAACAAAAATGGTTCAGAGAAAAACCGAAATGATAGTCCTATTGAAGAAAAGGCAAATATGTTAAAGTGATTAGAGATGATAAATATGAAAAATAGACAAGCGTGATCCAACCTAGTAATAATTGAACTTTTTTAGTTAGAGAATCCAACATATGACACAGAAAAAAAATGTATTCATAAAATACTGAAAAAAATCACTGAAATAAAAGAGTAATTTGAACACTGAAAGAATAACCTATAATAGGAAAAAGAGGTGCAAAATAAGTAAGGTATAAATAAATAGATAGCCCCTTGATAAGATATAAGGCATAAATAAATAATTAATGCTTAAAACAGAAAAATCAAACAACCTATAAAGTAGAAAAAAATTAACTTGGCTCATTCCCCACAACAGCAATGTTCAATGAGGGAACAAAGTGGAGCAATGTTTGCAAAGTTTGTGTGTGTGTGTGTGTGTGTGTGTGTGCTGAGTGTACATTGTGGCATTTACAAAAGTTCTTACACTGTATCAAATGTATCAGACTTGAATTCACCCCATCTACTATTCTCTTTCATTCCTCCCTCTCCCAATTCCTGGAACAGTTTCAATAGATCTCATTTTTCCATTTACATACATGTGTACACAGTTTTTGCACCATATTCACTCTCCTATACCGTTTTCCCACATCCTCCCCACTCCCACTGGTACCACCCCCCCCCCAGACAGGACTTGTTCTGCTATCCTGTTTCCTGATTTTGTAAAAAATAAATAAATAAAAAGAAAGAAAATGACATATTTGTTTAAGATAGCTATACAAGGAGTTTCCTAGTGACATTTCTATGTACATCTGTATCACAACTCGAATTGGTTCAACTCCTCTATTTTTCTCCTTTCTACCTTAGTCCCCTTCTTATGGTGATTTCAATACGTTTAAAAATTTTATATTCATTCTTGCATAGAAAGTATATCAACCATATTCACCTTTTTAATTTCCTTCTTTTACCCTCCCTCTCCTGAATGTCTGATCTGTTTTTCATAACATTGCTGTATTTGTATTAGGTCTATATTCCACATATGAGAGAAAATGTGTGGCCTTTGGCCTTCTGAACCTAGCTAACTTCAGTTAAGATGATGTTCTCAAGTTCCATCCATTTAAAAAATTGTGACTCAAGAATATCACATCCAGTTTAATTTTTGTGCAAGTATGAAAAGAACAAGAGAGTCTCAGTAAAACAACTTGTGTCAAAAACTGCAATATTCAGCCATAAGTGAGTTAACATAAATCAAGGGTTCAGAAAGGCAAGGAGGAGCTCTGTAGAGAGATCAGGGGGCAGCACTAACCTATCTCAGCAGCCAGCTAGCACTGAGCCACTGTAAGAGGTGACAGTTACAGAACTGAATATAAGTGCTTCAATGTTTCACTCCCAAAAATATAAAAATGATATAATCACCAAACACTAGGAATTGAAAAGATGAAAAAGACACAAATAAAAGTGCAAATCCTCTTATTTTTTTTCACAATAAATAATCATTTATATGAGTTTCAACAAAATTGAAACTTGCCAGTTTAAGATGACTTCAGCATCTGCATGGATTTCATAGACATGTTTTATAAACTAGCAGACATAATTTGACTTACATTCTTTTTCTTATTTTAAAATCAAGTAACCTTAATACTTTCATTTCAAAATAGGAAAAATAATGGTTCCATTGTTAGAGAAGCTTTTTCTCTTGTTCTCTTTCATTCTCTTTCTCTTTCTCACTGTTTTTCCTTTCTGTCTCTCTGTGCATCCATCCTTATATTTGCCTTGTGATTATACATAGAGATTTACAATAATAACCATCAATGTTTATTTTGGTCATTTCTGAGAAGTGACATTTGAGATGACTGGTTGGCTTCTATATTGCTTGCTTTGTTTTTAATAAGTAGGCAACATTTTTATAAAAATGAGAGAATATTGCATAGAAAAATCTACCCTTTTCTAATATTTCTAAATAAAATGTTTACTTGTCAAAAGGCAAGTTTTAAACAAAACTCAAAATAAATTCATATTCCCCAGAAATAAGCATTAATGGTAATGGACAAATAAGCATGCAGTGAGTTGAACTGAGCAGTAGCACATTTGATGAATCAGTAGCATTTTGAAGCCTGTGTCAGGCCTTCCTGATTAGCAAAAAAAAATCTAAATAGCATTTATTTTTTATTCCAGGTTTCTGGAAAAGGTATTTCAGGCATTCTGATGATCTTCTCGCTCTTGGAATTCAGCATAAATTGTACCACAGCCCATTTTGCCAACCAATCAATCACCAAAACCAACAGGGTGAGTTAGGCCTCTTTATAACATAATCTGAATATGTGCTGAAGAAATACAGACTTTCAGGACTTAGCATACAGGATTGTATGCCAAATCCTGCTGTGAGCTTATTAGAGTGCTGTTTTTCCTTGACTCTGCAGGGACAGGAGAGATTGAATGGATTGTACTAACGATGTTGTTCGTTTGTGTTCATTCCTCCAGTCTGTCATGGTTTTTCCAAATACCTATGCAACCAACCCCTTGACAGAAGAGCCATGCCCACCTGCTCCCAGATATGATGACCACATAGCACACACCCATAGATGCTAAAAGAAAAAAGGAGACATCAGCTCAATATCATGAAGTAAAACTTCTCCATGAAAATTTCTTAGGATCTGACTTCTACTGTCTATGTTGACTGCAAATCCTTAAAGACTGTGTTTAAGATTTGTTCTTAGGCTAATCACTAGCTAATCACTAATGATAACTGCATCTCTCAGTCACTGTCTCTTTCTACTTAGCATGCTCTCACTGGCACCCTTTTCATCATGAAGGATGAAAAGATTGAAAACTGACTGTGCAACTCAAAGTTAGAAATTTTCCTGTTAATGTCACTTTTTCCTCAATAAAAATGTCATTAGGATCATAAGCCCTTGGGGTATTGTTTATTGGTGTATATTAATTGTACATAGTAAGAAGTTTAATTAGGATAGTTCTATACATGCATATACACACATTCCAGCAGTCATGTATCCTGAAACAGGAGTTGTGGTTTGAGATGCAGTGTTCCTTGCAGCTGGAATGTAGTTTCCTTAAGGTGTCTTTGGAGTATTCAAAGTAGCCATTCAAAGAAAGGCTGCTCAGTTGACAGCTCGGTTGAATTTTTGTTAAGTGAAATAAACAAGTCCCACAAAACAAGTATTGGATGTTTTCTCTCATTTGTAGACACTGGGCGGGGGGACCTCCAAGGTCATGAAAATAAAGGGCAGACTACATTGAAAGTGGAAAGGAAAAGAAAAAGGGTGAGGGGGAATAGGGATAAGAGGGAGTGATGGAGACATGGAGAGATGAATATGATCAAAGTACACAGTATGCATGTATGGAAATATCCTGATTAAACCCCTTACTATGTACAATTAATAAACACCAAGCCAGTCCAGCACAAGGGAAGAATCTGACAAGTGTTAATTAAAGATTTCCCAACAATTTAGCTTATTTAAAGGAAAAGTACACTTTAAAAGGTGCTTACAACAAAGACCTATCATTATCATTAATAGTATTTGAGATTGCTTATCTCTAAGACAAATATGCTTAAAGAGCAGTGGGTCACTCTGTTTCAACATCATGAAATATTTTGCCTCATAGATATCTACAAATCTTTGTTATTTAATGAATATCTTTGTGTACAATAAAATCATGTGCAATGGAACAATAGCAGAACAAGGATGGTACCTTGAGGACTCACGTCATCTTTGTCAAACTAGAAGCATGGTCATGCCCAAGGTGAAAGGCATGGCTAGAATCAGAATATTACGCAGCACAGGCAATGTTAAAAGTCATGCAAGTGAAGAATAAACTGGTAAGAAAAACAGGAGAATTGCCAGGGTATACTGAGGACATGTTTGAGGGGATGGTCACAAAATTACAGTAAGTTGCTCCATCAGGACTTGGCTGCTGAAACCAGAGAAAATACCCATTTGATTTTATCTAGTATTAAGGTTTTTCTAGAGACAATGATAAAATAACAGAGGGACAAAAAAGCTTAGAACATTGTCAAAAGTATTATTCAAATAAATGACCTGTGTAATCTATACTGGGTAAAACGAAAAGTGAAAAAATAAAAGATGAATTATTCCAAAATTGAAATATCTTCCTTTCTCCAGTAGAACTGTTGTGAAAAGCAAATGAGATGTTATTTTTTTTAAAGTTGGAAAATAGCCAAGTACAGGCCATTTGTAAAGTTTTAAAATTAAAGAACTCAGTGCCCAGTATGGTTACATATGTCTGGAATTCCATCACTTCGGCACTTAAAAGTCTGAGGCAGAAGGATCACAAGTTCAAAGCCAACCTGAATACATTGAGTTCCAGGCCAGCTTGGGCTACATAGTAAGACCCTTTCTAAGAGAGAGAGAGAGGGAGAGAGAGAGAGAGACAAAGAGAGTGAAGAAAAAGTTTTATGGGGAAATATGTAAGGAAAAATTATGGAAGAGGCAGATAAGAAGATAAATTTTGCCTCTGGGAAAGCAGATGCAAATGAGAGATGATGTGAAAATCACTTCATTTCAAGGTTTTCAGCCTACTTGGATCCCAACAATTTAGCAACTTGGCTGATCAGGAATGCTATGTCCTTCTCCATGATTCAGCAGCTCAGCAAAAGTGAAGGCATGTTCTGTAGTCTGGGGGTTTAGGAATGAAACGGTGCACCCAAAATGTCTGGAGGAGTGGTAACTGTATACAGAAATACAAAATTAACAACTATAAAGATTACATTTCCTTTAGAGAACAGAAATACTTCCAACAAAGTTGATCTTCAAAATAAATTTCTAACAAACATATTCTAATTTTCAATTTGCTTTTATAACAGGAATAATGAGAATAGCAAATGTTTAGCTCTTTATATGTGCCAGTCCCATTCCAGTTACCTACATTACATGTACTACAGCATATACCTGTGGTAGTAGTGTCCACAGGTAGGCACTTTTATTAGCATCATTTTCAGATGAGAAAACATTGGAGAGAGGTGGAAAAACTTGCTGTGAAACATGTAGATAATAAAGGGTGAAGAAACCATTTGAACCCAGGCCATCTGGCAGCCAAGCCCAGGCAGTTTTCCTGACCACTATTGTCACTGTCTCTGATACAACCAGAGATTTATAGCTCCAAAATAAACAATCAAAATAAAATTATCTCTAGTAAATGTAAATTTGCAAGGAACTGGCATACCCCCTGGGGAGGGGAATAAGGATTCAGTAATGCCATAGCACTCCCTTTCACACATGCTTTCCGAAAGTAACCTTTTCCTTTGAAGCACACCTGGGAATCCCTTAACTAAACACCTAGAGTGTCAAGTGCTCCTCTTCCTATTCCCAACTTCGCAACTTGCCTTTGTTCTGGACAGTCAAAAGATGCTAACAGAGTTGGGTCTCAACCATTGTAAGGTTAAATTTAAGGTTCTTAAAATTGAAAACTAAGACTACATGTTTTAGCAAATTAAAATGTGCTACAAGAATAAAATTCTTAGGTAGTGGCCTCAAGTAAAACAAAGCAATCATGCTTTTTCCCCAATATGAACAAAGTCATTCAACAAATATTTATTGACTACCTACCCTGCTTTTAGTTGCCTGTTTTCTTCCCTTGATTTAATTTTTGTGTTATGGCTGTCTTGGTTATCATCTAGGTTGGAGTGCTATTTCTGTCTCTGGCCTGGAGATATAATTTAGCAATAACTAATTGACAGGTTAAATACCAGACCAGTTGTTTATATATTATATAGAAGACCCCTTGGTCGTATTATCTATAAGCAGTGGGATTTGAAGGGGTTAACATTTGTTAGGCTAGCTATATAAATTTGGGAAATTCATTAGGGTGGCACCAGAAGGGGAAGCGGGAAGTAGGGTGGGTGAGGGAGGAAGCGATGTGGGGGCTGCTGGGTTTTATGGCCCTTGTGTGTGTTTGGGTGTATTTCTGTTGTTGCAGTGTAGAGTGCTTATGTGAGGGATTGCAGGAGGTTGGGGTTGTGTAAAGTTGGTACAGTAGGCTGTCAACAGGTGGTGCATGTGTAGGAGGGAGGAGTGGTCTGGTGACAGGTTGGGGGAGAATGGGAGGGGAAGGTGAAGGCAGGGGAGAGAACAGATGAGAAGGGGCAGAAAGAGTAGTTGGGAAGGAGACCAGTGGATTTTAGCACAGAAGAAGGAGGGAGAGTGGAGGGGAAGAGAGTAGGGATGAGAAGATAGTGATAGTGAAGTTGACAGTACATAAAGAAAACAAGAAAATAGGAATAAAGATTAAAAACCCACAATAATATAAAAAACAAACAAAACAGAAAAAAAAAACACCAGGTTCAGTAGCAATAGAATTTCAGTCTTAGTTTAAGTTCTGGAGTTATTCCACCAGCATCCAGTCCTGGTATTGGCATATAAGCAGAAACTCTGACGTGGTCTCTCTGGGTGATTGGTTGTGAGTAGTGTTGTGTTCTCCTGTCTACCAGCTTAATTGAAATTGTGGGGTGAAGTAGGTTGGTCAGATCATGCAGGGTGGTCGGACCTATCGTCTTCCCCAGCTGACAGCTGTGTTATCCTTCAGCTTCAGCTGTTTGGTCAGTTCCTCCCCCAGTGAGGTAGTGCAGTTCAGTTTTGAATGCTACCCTCTAATTCAGGAGATCAGCTCTGCAATTCACTACCTGCCCTGCTTTGGGAGGTGGCTTATCGCTGTGTTTGTTTGCTGAGAGTTTAGTTCTTTGCCCCACCCCCTTTCTCTGGGGCAGGTTCAATGTACCACCCACAACCTCTGCTGTATGTGTTTGATTACACTTCAACGTTTTTCAGTTTTGTGGGGCAGTTTGGTTTTGGATGCTCCTCTTTGGTTCAGGACATCAGCTCTGTGATATACTACCTGCTCTGCTTTGGGTGGTGGCTTGTTGCCTTCCTGCTCTCAGCCTTCACTGCCTTTCCTGTGTTTATTTACTGAGAGTTCATCACTGAAAGTTTAGTTCTTTTCCCTGGCCCCTTTCTCTGGGGCACGTTCAGTGTTCCACCCACCCTTTCCACTGTCCATGTTTGATTACTGTTCACTGTTTGTTTTTCAGTTTTCTTGCAGGGGAATCAGACTTCCCTGGAGCTGCACTGGTTTATTTTCCCAGGGGTAGATAGGAGTCCCACATGATGTGTGGTGCTCACCTGTTCATTCTGCCAATTGATGCACAGGCAGGTTTGGAGCAGGTGGTGGTGGCAGGGAGCAATGGCTCCAACTTTTCTCAGTGCCCTTTGCATGGGGAGGTTTTCCACAGACTAGAGGTTCAGGATATTGCAGAGTTTGATTCTGGTTGATGCTCTATTTCCACTTGATGGAGGAAGGAGAGAAGAAGGAAAAAAAAAAAAGAAGAGAGAAATCGCCATGGGGGAGGAGGGTTCCTCAGGGGCTGGACCCACCTTGCTGACCGTGCTGCGGGTCACACCTTAAAGATGGATTTGAATTTTTTCCTGCACATAATGTGATGGCAGTTATTATTTTGGCTAGAAGGAGTCAGAATTACCCAAGTGTGGCTCTAATGTCTCAGGGAGGTTTTTGGAGTCATGGAGCTTAGGCTTTCTTCTTCTGTACCCTACTCACCA